CAATCCTCTCTCCCCCCCCCCCCCCCCGAGACACCTGGAAACTTCTCCCGCACGTGGGATTCTCCACTGTGAGGCTGGGCAGGCTGGATTCAGACTCTTCCCAGGGCGCCAGCCAGCATGCAGCAGCTTTCTTGGGCAGGCTTACCGTTAATAATTCACCAAGCAGAGAAAGACACAGCAGCCTAAGCTCTTGACCCGGTCTAAAGCAGGGCTTGGAGCAGGCTGCTAGCTAGCTAGCCCTCAGAACCTGACTGTCATATTTAGATATTAGTATGTATCAGCAATCATAAGTAAATTATTCTAAAAACAGAGCCGCGGCTGTGCTGCAGGCAACATTCCATGTTCGCCAGCAGAGGTATCAGGGAAACACAAGGCTAAATAGACCTGGAACAGTGAGGGCCCAAGGAGAGCCCTGCTTTTTGTACATGGCTGCTCTTCATCTCCAAAGGGCTGCTATACATGTACTTGTTACCCTGTTGGGAAAAACTATTTTAAGCCTAATTAGCAGGATTTTTTTTTAGAATGCAAATGCTTTTCATTTAGACATAAAACAAAATGCCACGACATTTCCTCCACCCATTTATCACAAACAAGTTAATTACTGTGTAACAAATCTCCCCTGCTGGAATGTGGAGGTCCAGGGCTGCCGGTGAGCTGACTCAGGCATTGAGAGGAAGCCACAGGGTGGCTGGTAATAGCTCATGGCATGTTCACCGTAAAACCACGACTGGGAAGCTCTGCTTGTCAAATTAAGTAAGGTTAAGCTTTCTCCCTCAGAATAACTCAATTATCAGTAGTCATTATCTATTTAGCACAGAACCTACCAGAAGCTCCAAGCCTGGCAGTCATCCTCACTGTGTTCTCAGAGTGGCAAAGTTTTCTGTACACCCAGCCATGTCTGCCTGTCCTAGCTTGAGTGTATTGCAGGCCTTAGTTTTCACCTCTGTGTGTGCAGAATAAAAACATCTTTGCTTATGACATCTTGCACCTCAAGCTCAAGGGGAAGAAAACAGGCAGAGAGCACGGGGTGTGGATAAGGGAGAAGTGGCCATGGCAGTAGCCTACTCCCAGGGGTGAGCAAGAGTAGCATAGATCCCAGACACCTTGAAGATCAAATTCTCCCCTGAGCTAGGTCTGAGCTGTATAAAGTTCACCCAGAGTGAATTACTCAGGCCAATAACCGCACACCCAACCCCACATATCCTAAGAGGACCAGAGCACACAATAGGGCCTAGCTATGCACATAGGCACGATACCAGCAAGACCCAGGAAGCATGGTAAAAATATGGAGATTTCTTTTCTGTTGTAGACACTCCTTGTTACCAAATAGTATTTTTCTGTCAAGCCTGGGTCACTGGGTGCGGCAAGATCTCCTTGAGTTTCTTAGGAGCTCCAGGAGGCGTCATGTCCCAGCCTCTGCATGGTGGAGTTCAGCACACAGCAATGGTAGGGAGGAGCCACAATGAACATGGGAAAGTGGCCAACCCCATCAAACTCCAAACCAAAAAAAAACACTCATGGAGCTCAGGGACTGTCCTGGACACACTTTCTCACTGAGGCTGCCCCATTCCTCAGCCAGCTTCTGAAGGGCTTCCTTCCTTCCTTCCTTCTTTCCTTCCTTTCCTCCCTTTCTAAGTCTCTCTCTCTCTCTCTCTCTCTCTCTCTCTCTCTCTCTCTCTCTCTCTTCCCTCCTTCTTTTCCTTTTTTATGATCAGCAAGAGTCAATGGCTTTGGCCTCACAATTTGTAAGATGAAAAATGTAAGAAAAGTTGATGCTGTCTTAATTCACATAATTTGTTAGACAAAAATATGAAAGATTCCTGCTAGAAGGGGCCACGTCCGGCTTGTGGGAACAACCTTCTGACATCATAATGGGATGTCATTGTCATCTGTGAAGTTCACACCTGAGAACCACACAACCAACTCCTCCACAAAGAAAAACAAACAAACAAACAAAAACCTCACAGTTCTAAGTCTAGGATTTTATGTCAACATGAATTTACAGCCACTTTTGTCTCCATGCAGACATACCTAGAACAGCACTGACTTGCATGTAAGGGCTTCCACATACCTGTACACACCTGTCCATGGACAGTTGCTCTACTTTCTACAACACAAACCCACCAGGAGAAGTCACCAGCCTTAAGACTGCAGAGCCAATAAGGAAATTAGGTTTTGATACCCTTTCTGAAAGCGCACTTCCCCTGTCTCTAAGATACATCCATTCAAACTTCTGGGTAACTGAGGCCAAGAGCAAAAGCTCCTAGACCGAAACCTCAGAGCCCATTATCTCTTACTCTATGCACACAGAAAGTTTAATTAGTTTGTCTGGAAAAGGGAAACAGATTTGCAATGAGTTTTCCAGCCATCTCCCTCTGCCCCTTGCACACCTTGGTTCCAGAAAGCTCATTGATATCCCTCCCCGGGGTGGGGTGTGTTTTCCTGTCGTTGGAGGGGCAGTCGTGAACAGAATGTCTGTGGGCTTATTTACCGAGCTCCCAACAACATAGTCTGCTTTGTCATGCATTTCAAAGTGGAGATAATTTGAGAGTCCTGCATTTCATACATAAAAATACTCAGTGAGGAAGTCTCTCTGCACAGCATTGGGTGACGGCGTTCCACCCGAAACTCCATGTGTTGCCCAGGAAATGATTCACCTCAGCCCAAAACGACAGGCAGACCAGTCGCAAAGAGCCTCTTGACTGGAGAACTGTAACCTCTGTTGATCTCACAACCATCTCTTTGCAGGGCTCCAAGGCCAGCCAAGCCTTCCACTTCATACCCCCCCCCCCCCCACCCACCAAAACCTCCTCCCCACCTCCTGAGTTTCTCTCCTCCCCTG